AAAAAAATCACAAAAGGCCACAAGGATGAGAAATTCATACCAGACTTGCGATCGTAACTCCAAAAGTGTCATGGTATTCACAGGAAGATCATCACTTCCTTCATCACGCCATCGAATCACAATATCATCCAATCTTCTCTTGAAACCATTAGTCAAACAATTTCTAGCAGGATTCAAGTAAGCTCCAGGAAGCCAATTACCTCCAGGATTATCTCCAGATGTATCTTTCTCTAATATACACTTAGGAGGTACAGAAAACACTACGTTTAACTCATCCAATACAGTTCTCCAATACACCTAACAAAAGAATCACCATGAAAAACACATAATCATGAAAATTTTAGGCATAATAACACCAATGTTAGTTACCTCAGGATTTGATACAGAGAATTCTTGAAAACTCGAAAAACTCGAAATTGGATTCTTGTAATTTTCACCTAAAAACTCTTTGCCACGCCTTTCTAGTAGCTTGCCTACGTTAGTTAAAGAAGCAACCTTCCTAAAATACAAAACAACAAAGCAAATCATCATATCTTCAATAATCATAAGAAACGGAGAAAAATCAAATTATGGTAACAATTCGTACGGGTCGGGTAACCAAGCGGGTGGGTCGGGTCCGAAATCCTTGTAGCAACCATAATACATCATCTGGTGAAAAGAGAAAGGGAGATTAGGGTGAAGGATTCGCCGAGAAATCTGAATCCACGTCTCCGGCGGTGTGGAGGAACCGTGAATGATCTCATCGAGGTCTTTGAGTAGCTTCTCCGAGACATCACCGGAGATTCCTAGGGCTTCGATATCAGATCTGGTGATTGAATTTAGGGATTTGTACGCCATTTTTGACAGAGAAGAGAGCTAAGAATGATTCAAAAAAAATGAGAGTGGCAGAGATGAGTGGCAAAATTGTCCACGTAATATAAAGAGAGCTCGTGATTGCCACGTGTCAATTTGGTTCTGATCTTTGAAACCTCTTTACACGTCTGATTATATAAGTGATTATCATCTTCTTGATAGAAGAATGATAGGAGTTATATTTTGGTTACTTTTTCTTTATTTATTATTATCATGTTATGAACCTTTTTATTCTTTCAGTAATTCAGTCTATAGACATTGTATGAAATATGAACTTGTATTATCATATGAATCAGTTCAGAATCTAGGCTGCATATATTAGACATAAGTCACCAAATCTTTTTATTGATTTCAGTCTATATACATATTTTTGGTATATGATAGTATTAGCATATGTTAGGAATCATAATAGAAGTGAGATAAGAGTTAAGAGTAACATAAAAAAGCATGTGGTAATGATCAAAGATCTCTCAAAGTTGATTGAATGATATATTGAGGAAAAGAAGATAACACTTTTGTTTTCCAATAAGAAGATAACACTTTACATTTGGTTACTTTATATGATTTTATGTATCTACAAATTGGTTTCAGTCTATATACATTGTGTAGTTGTATTCTCTGACACCCTTTTTTTTTCTTTCACTTTTCGACTTTTGATCATCATCTTATTTGGTTATGATGTTTATTTCAGTCTAGATACACTAGTTTTAATTATATGAATCAGTAGAGTAAAAAATGTTTAAGATTTCAATGAAATCTTACACTATAGAAGTTTATTTTACCAAATTTATATCTTCATTTTCACATTATTGAAAACACTAAACTAAACTCCAGAAAAACTTATCTAATTTTTATATCTTCAACCATTTTTAAAATGGATTTTAGCAAAAAGTTATTGGCAGTCCCACTTTAAGATAAAGCTAAGGCCACACATACCTACCAGATGTCCGAAATGATTTTGCATCTATGTGATATTACAATTAGAGTCCATAACAACTTATTCATAACTTTTTTCATGAATTTTCATTTCTATTTTAAATGATCAGCTACTACTGTTTCAATTTCATCTTTGTTTTTTTTTTCTGGTTCCACAAATGATCATCAATGTAAAAGACAAGTAATGATTCGAAAATCTTATCAAAAGGGAATATAGAACAACACTTTTAAACTATATATAGTATCCTCTTGTTTTTCAGTCGGAGCTAGGAAGGAACTTGGTTCCGGATCTAGTACCAAAACTTCTAGAAGCTGCCGGGATAATACGCGATGGAGACAATACTTGCGCGAACGAGAAGTTGTAAGAATCAGTGCCTAACCGGCTCTGTAACCATCCTCTGCCACCAGAGAATCCATCTGTCACAATATAACAATTCTTGAACCCGAGAACCTTTAACGTTTTCGCCACTATTTTAGCCGAATCCGAGTACCTACAAGTCATAAAAAGACCAATAAAGATTAAAAAAGATTCACAAAAAAGGTCTTGTAAAGAGATATTAACAAAACTCACGAGTCCAAAATGATGATATTGGAGCCTTTGTTGATTCTCTTGAGGTAAGAAATCTTTAATGCTGCTATCTCTGCTTCAACTCGTTTCGAGTTCCTCACTATTCCTTTTACTTTGTTTGGTAGTTCTTCTAACCTGATGATTACAAGAACATAGTTTTGTGTTTCTTTCAAATTTTCGGGTATAGAAAACTCGAAAAGAATATGCAAAGTTAAAAGAAAAACACTTACGGAATGGAGATCACACGGTTCTTAGCATTTGAAGGGAGCCGTGGAATCCCAGCTTTCTCCTTGTCTTTCTCTGATCTTATATCTACCATCAAGTAGTTCTTGGTGCAAAGAAGATCAAGCGTTTGAGCCGGCGTGAGATCACCTTCATTTAAAATATAAACCACAAACACAGAGTAAGTTCTCAACTTTTTGCTTTGTTGTGAATTAAACTCTAGATACTAAATAGATCACTAATAACCAAATAACCAATAACATTTGTTACATTTTCACCATAAATCAAAATCTCATTTATGTTGTTTCAAGATGATATATATGAAGTTTCAGACTCAAAAGAAATGAGGTACCTTTGTAACCACGGAAGTTAAAAGAGATGGCAGACCAAATAGGGGGGAGAAGAAGGTAAGCAAGAAACGCAGCACCAGCAGCAACAACAATGACATTAGGATCAGCTGACGAAATCGTTTCAATGGTCGATGAAGCAATCGGCTTAGCATCTTCAATCGCTTTTGTTGTCTGTTGCGCTACATCTGTTACTGTCTACATCCCAATCAAAACACACACAAAGTTTGTGTCACAAACCACTCTAAACCCTAAACCCCAAACCTATATTTCTGAGTCCTTCAAACAAATTTGAATGTGAAAAATCTAACAAATTTGAATGTGAAAAATCTAACCTTTGCAGCATTAAAGACAGGCTCTGAATCAAAACCAGAGCTCTGCATTGCTTCTTGAGCTTTCTTTGAAGCTTCTGAGAAAGCAGGAGAAGCAAGCTTTATAGCTTCTTCACCAGCTTGCTTTGCGAGTGGTAAAGCAGTATCCAAAGCTGGTTTAAGAGCATCTCCTACTACTTGGAACACACGCTGCGTTGCATCAAAAACACTAGAACCAGTTTCTTGAACTTGATTGATTGTTTTCTCCACCTGTTCAAGACACAAGAACACTTGTAAACAAAAGGAGACAATTTGGTCATTACAAGACAGAGTTAAGTGAGATTGTCATTACTTCAGTGATAGAGGAGACGATTTGGTCCTTGGAAATGGAAACAGCAGCTTTAGCTTCATGAGGAGGAGATGCAAAGAGAGATAACAGAGAGATTGAAGTTGATGTTGGAAGTGAAACAGAGATTTGTCTCAGTGTCTTCTTAGAAGAAGAAGAAGGAAGAGTGAGTTTTGCAGATAGTGAAGACTTCATAGCCATCTCCGCCATAGCCATGGTTTTCTCTGCCACACTTTTTTCAAATCAATGCGACAGAGAAAGAGACAAAGAATCTTTAGAGCTTCTCTTCAATGTTGTCTGCAAACTGTTTCTTCAGCTTTCATTACCTTTTTTCTAAAGATTATAAATAAATTGAGTTTCTGGTTAAGATTGAAGAAAGGAGATTTGAAAGATGGGTTCTAATTGGTCAGACTTATCCTATGTGGCAATTTTGTGTTCAAGCTTAGCCATTCGTTGCCGATCCAATACTTTGATATATGTCGTACAAGAATTTTATTGTAACAAGTAATATCAGAGGTGTACTACATAATAAGAGCAACAAAATTCAATACTACATTGAAACATTATAGAAAACATACAAATAAAATTAAGAAAAATCCAAACTCCAGTTTGGTAAACATGCTTACGGTTGTAAACAAAGTAGCTCGCCTCTTCGAACAATATGTTCCATCCGTTCGATTGGTAATCGAAGATGCGGTTCAACCTCCAAACGTCTCAAATTGTGTTACCAATCAAAGCCATAGTAGAATAAACAACATCTTGTATGAACCAAGACCGAAAACTGCGATTAAACTTCATCCCAACACAAAACCAAGCATCTTAAATTGGACTGATGTTGGTTTAGGTTCCGTTCTTCTGGTTCCTGTTTTTTCTCCTATAATCTGAACAGATGATCAAGTGAAGTAACCTACCTACACTTAGTCAACCGTCTACTAGTAAAATCTAGACTCACTTAGGTTTATAAAAATTAGTTTTTTCTCTATTCTTAATAACTTGCCCATGATTGAAGGAAGACGAGCAAACACACCTGATCACTAGTTCCATAGGATTTACAAATATATTTCCCCATAATGTATAGTAGTACCATTACTAGACCTTAAAACAAACAAGCTCACCATTTAAACTCCTAGTAAAAGGCCTACCAAATCCAATGTAAAGAAACTCAAGCCCGGATATACACATGCCGGTTCATGGATTTCATTACTATGCTATTTAAGTTCATGTTTGTTTAAGCATCAGCCTAGAAAGCGATATCATACTATTAGTAGTACCACCATCATCACAATTTCTCTATAAGAAGATAAGAGAGTAACAGTATTTTCTCATATTTTACAGCCCCTCTTGTGTGAGGGAATCTAAGAAAGATAGCAAGTCTTGATCTTGAAAAAGAACAAGATTCTCCTTTTCTTACCTAATTTGAGAATGGAATCATGGTACCATTTGAAGTTTGCTCTAAGAAATTTTTAACCCACGAGCTCAGGAATCCATTCACTTCACGAGATTCCCTCACCTTTTCTCTGTGCTGCCAAAGGTGAGGGAAAAAAAGAGAGAACACAAGAAGACCAAAGACTAATAACAAAAGTGTCTTTTTCAACAGAGATAGATAGAGACACAAAAGTTTAAAGAGTGAATTTGATTCTTCTTGAACAGCCAGTTTCGTAAATAGTAATGCCAAAGGAACAAGAATTAGCAGCATGGCTCTCTAGACTGATAATCACTGAATATCACCACTTGGATCCTAATTAAAGGGTTATCGCACACTCTGGATTGCGCAATGTACCAAAGTTTTTGAGTAATTATTACACTATTCTAATGTGGATTCCTTATCAATAGACAAGAATGAACATAGTAATGCAAAAGCAAGGGTTCTAGAATAATGCAATGTCCAGGTAAATAGAGCCGGAGAAGCAAGCAAAAGCACACATTGCATCAAGAAACCAAGAGATCACAGCAAATTTCAGGAAGGAACTCATAACAACATAGCCATGCTCATGCCAAAAAAATAGGAACAAAATTAGCAGCCGATCTACTAATCTGCAAAGCTGAAGTAGTTGGATTCTATGGCTCAACAAAAAAAAAAAAAACTTGCTAGATGAAGCAAGACTATATGGAACTAAAACCTTGATAATACATGTAAACAAAAAGTAAAACTGAATCATCATCGTCATCACAACAAATTTCAGAAAGGAACTCATAAAAACATAGCCATGCTCAGGCCAAAAAATTCAGGAACAAAATTAGCGGCCGATCTACTAAGCTGCAAAGTAGCAATACTATATGGAACTAAAACCTTGATACATGTAAACAAAAAGTAAAACTGCATCATCATCGTCATCAGATTCAAGACCATTGTACAAAAAACAGAACAAGGAAATAAGCTGCCAACATAATCATTAAAAAAAAGTTAAAAAAAAAACAAAACTGAAGTTTGTAACCGAAGTTGTCATGAAACACATGTTAGGATTTAAGATAGGTTTATAAGTCAACTATGAACACATGATAGACTAGGAAGGAATGAAGTACACCTAAAAACAAAAACACATTTGTTACCCAAAACAATAACAAACCAAACCAAACCTTTGAAAAGAATTTGAGTTGATTTTGTTTTCCCTCACTTTCACAACAGCTAAAAATCAATACTTTCAATTAGATTTGGGATAAATTTCAAATATTTTAGTTAGCAACTGAAAAGATTTTAACGAATCCAAAATATATCGGATTTTTTTTTTTGAGCATTCTCAACAAGATTATTAAACAGATGAGGAAGAGTAAGCGCTGGATGCAGAGGTTTATCGATCGATTCATGCTTTTGAAACCAAAAATATTCACAGGAATTGATCGATGAACCGCTGCCTCCAGCGACTTCACTCTAAATCCAAACATAAAAATGAGGAGAGAATTAAAAAAAAAACAGAAATAATTCACAGATCTGGTTGATGAACACAAATCATTATTGATCTCAAAAAAAGAATTAAAAAAAAACATATAGATAAATTTAGACAGAAGTGGATAGATGCAGAGTAATTATAAATCGACGAGCTCATATATATAGAAAGAGAGAAGCGTGTGGTTACATGTGATACAATATACATGCATGTGAGAATAACTGGGAGGAGAGGAGATTTTTCAATTTGAAAGGAGGAATCTGATGACTCACCGTTTTGCCGTACATTTATATTTCTCTCATCCTCGTCTTTTGTCCTTTTGGTCAAAAAAAATCTAGTCTATGATTGACAGACTTAATGATTCTCACACTAGTTTTTTTTTTACTTCTTTTTCTTTGTCAAAATTAATCTTTTCTATTTTGTAAACTTCATTATATGTTTTTTTAAATCAGAAGTGTGACGGTGGAAAAAAGAGTTTTCCCTTGTGTGGGCTTAGGTTCCTCTGTCTCATCTAGAGGCTTTCATAGTCGGTGAGAGAGGCGTTGTTTACCGGGGATTTCCTTTTCCGCCGGCGAGGTTTTTGATTCTTTTCCTTTTTTGTCAAAATTCTATCTCAAACTTTCCAAAATTCTTTGAGCTTTAACCTAGATTTAAGGCTGAGAGGAGGAGCTGCCGCACTAAGGATTCAAGTGTGTTGCTTCCGATTGCTAGTTTCTTTGATTCAATCTCTGTTTTGCTCGATGGCGTTTACTCTTGACAAAGCTTTGCAAGCGATGACGATTGAGGAGAACAAACCAGTGAAGTTGATGAATTTACCGAAATTCAGCTCGTGTGAAAGAAACGCTTGTAGTCTTATGGGAAGGCTACTGTGTCCTGAAAATCAAAAGATGTCACGATTCATCCATGACATGCCTAGGCTTTGGCATGTTAGCAACAAAGCTCGTGGTATAGCTCTGTCGGAGGAGACTTTTCAGTTTATATTTGATAGTGAACATGATTTAGAGACTGTTCTCCATGGTGGAGCTTGGACTTATGAAGATTGGAGTATGGTTCTGGAACGATGGGTGGAGAAGCCACCGGAAGATTACCTGAGGATTCTGCCTTTGTGGATTCGATTGAGAAACATACCTGTGAACTTCTACACGGTAGAGACCTTTGAAGAAATTGCGGAGAGTATTGGACAAGTCCTAACTGTTGCTTTTGATCCGCTTAAACCACAAAGTAAGGGTTTTGTTCGAGTTCAAATTCTGTTTGATGTTAATAAGCCTTTATGGAACTCAAAGGAGGTGGAGCTTCCTACTGGAGAGATGGTATCCATTGGGGTCGAGTATGAACGGGTGCGTAAGAGGTGCTTTCAGTGTCAGAGGCTTACTCATGATAGGTCTCGGTGTCCATTTAACCCTCAGAACCGGCACTCTAGTGCTACGGGTGGGGTTGAAACTGCTGCTTCTGGTTCAGTTACCAAAATTACACAACTGGGAACTGATGATCCATTGTTTGGTGTGTTAACTAACGACGATGTGGGTCTTGATGCTACAACAGGAAGACCAAAAATTTCAAAAGAGGTTCTGGATGAGATGCGCAGCTACTTGTCAGTGGCTGATCCTACGGAGAAGCTAGCCCGTATTGATAGAGTTAGGAGATCGGTGTGGAACTTAGAAGGTGACCCGCAAGGACAGAAGACTTTGCTAAGATTGGAACCGGCAACGGAAGTCACAACTAATGTCAACAAAGGGAAGGGTCTGGTTTTTGACTTTGACACTAAAAAGGCCAATTCTCAAAATGTTGCAGGTGAAAAATTAATGGCTTCTGCGATTAAAGCTAGTACTGCTATAACAAGATTCAATCACGTGGAGGCTCCTTATACTGATTCAAGGTCTTTAAATCCTCTTCTTCATCCTTGTTCTACGGTGTTTAAAACTGGTGGCAACGCTAGTTCTTCCGGGACAAGTGATACGATTAAAAAATATCGTCGGAGACCAAGTCAGCATAAGAGAAAATCGCAGGCTGCAAAGGAGACTAAGGAGTATCGAAAACCAGAGTTGGTATACAGAGAAAAGGTCAAACAAGATGGAGCGGATGGTCTGACTTTAAAGAGGAAAGCTGAGGAGGTTGGGTTGTCATCACCTAAGATTGCTAGGCGGTCTGAAAATGATTTAGCGGTGGTTCCGTATGAGGAACCGCCGAAGCAAGTATGAGCATTCTCAGCTGGAATTGTCAGGGATTGAGGAGCTCGCTGACAATTCCTACTTTAAAGGAAATGAGACGTGTTCATTTCCCGGATATTTTGTTTCTCCTAGAGACGAAAAACTCTAGTAATCACGTGTTGAATGTTAAGCAATGGTTAGGTTATGATTCTGCTCATATTGTTGATCCTGAAGGGTTGAGTGGAGGCTTGGCACTGTTTTGGAAAGCTTCATATGACGTTGAGATACTTCACTCAGATAGAAGAATTATAGACACAAAAATCAAGATTGGGTCCTTGTGGTTTTTTGCTTCTTTCATTTATGGAGATCCAGCTTGTAATTTAAGACAAGATGTTTGGGATAATTTAATAAGTATTGGTTTAACAAGAAGTGATCCATGGTTTGTTGTTGGTGATTTAAATGAGATATGGGACAATTCTGAAAAACTTGGTGGTCCTGCTCGTCAAGAAGCTTCATTTATACCATTTCGCAATATGGTTCGGGATTGTCGTCTACGTGACATACCATACACGGGCAATAAATTTTCTTGGGCAGGTAAACGTAATGATATGTGGATTCAGATTCGATTGGACAGAGCTCTTGGTAATGCTGAATGGTTCCATCTATTCCCGAGAGTTCAATCAGAATATTTAGAGCGGATTGGTTCGGATCACAGGCCGGTTTTGACGCGTTTCGTCAATGAAAATCAATCTTTTCGAGGTCGTTTTATGTTTGATAAGCGTTGGACTGCTAAACCAGAAACTATGGAGATTATTAGACAAGGATGGAACAATCAAGGATTGTATGGTAACACAAGTCTTTTTGATAGAATTGCAGCATGTCGCAAATCATTATCTCATTGGAAACGCAATTCTCAATCAAATTCTAAGACAAGAATTAAGCAACTTCGAGAGCAATTGGAGGAAGAAGGCTGCCAACAATTCCCACGTTTTTTCCTTCTTCAACAATGGAGAGGAGAGTTAGCTGAGGCATATCGAGAGGAAGAGATTTATTGGAAACAAAAGAGTCATGACAATTGGTTGAATGATGGCGATCGTAATACTAAATACTTCCATGGGAGTGTCCAAGGGAGAAGAGCTCAAAATCAAATTTTTTCCTTAATTGATGACAATGGATTGGAGCAGTTTACAGATGGATCTAAAGGTAATATAGCTGTGGATTATTTTCAAAAGCTATTTACCTCCTCTCAACCAAGTGATGCTTCCGTTTTACTTGATGGTATGTCCCCTCGTGTTACTCCTCTTATGAATGTTGCCTTGACTAAACCGGTCACTAATGAGGAAATTCGACAAGCGGTTTTTGCTATTGGAAGTAGTAGTGCTCCTGGAGCGGATGGCATGACAGGATTATTTTTTCAATCCTATTGGAGTGTAGTTGGTCATCATGTTTGTGATGAAGTGAGAAAATTCTTTGATTCTGGATCATTTCCGGTTGAATGGAACTTTACTCAACTATGTTTGTTGCCCAAGAAACCAAATCCCAACAGGATGACTGATCTACGTCCGATTAGTTTGTGTTCTGTTTCATATAAAATCATCTCTAAGATTTTATGCTCACGGTTGAAGGTATGGCTGCCAGAAATTGTCTCCGATGCGCAAGGCGCCTTTGTGTCAGGACGTTTAATATCAGACAATGTTCTTTTGGCTCATGAAATGATACACGCTTTACGCACTAATCCGGACTGCAATGAAGATTTTATGGCTATCAAAACTGATATGTCTAAGGCGTATGATCGAGTTGAATGGAATTTTCTGGAGGAGCTTTTTATTCGACTTGGTTTTGCTAGACGATTTGTCGATTGGTTAATGGTTTGTGTGAGAAGTGTCACTTACTCGGTCTTGTTGAATGGGAATTCCTATGGTTTTATCAAACCGGAGCGTGGAATTAGACAAGGTGATCCGTTATCGCCTTTTATCTTTATTTTGTGTGCTGAGGCTCTTGTTTACACTATGCAAAAGGCTGAGTTTGAAGGTCGCATCACTGGTATTCGGCTAACAAGGAATTGTCCCTCCATTCAACATTTGTTATTTGCTGACGATAGCCTTTTTCTGTGCCGGGCTAACTTTAAAGAAGGTTCTGAAATTCTGCATTGTTTGAAACTTTATGGGGATGCTTCTGGTCAAGAAATCAATCTTCAAAAATCATCAATTATATACGGGACCAAGATGGAGCCGATTATGAGACATTTGCTGGGATTGTTTCTTGGAATTGTCAAGGAAGGCGGTGATGGTATGTATCTCGGTTTACCGGAATGTTTTAGTGGTTCGAAGTGTGATTTGTTAGCTTACATAACACATAAGCTCAAAAAACGGTTGACGGGATGGTTTGCGAAGACGTTGTCATTAGGAGGGAAGGAAGTTCTCCTTAAATCAGTGGCTATGGCCTTACCAGTTTACGCTATGTCCTGTTTTAAACTGACAAAACATCAATGTCAACAGATCACTAGTGCGATGACAAGCTTCTGGTGGAATTCATGTGAGGAACAAAAGAAGATACATTGGGTGTCTTGGGAAAAGATGTGTAAAACAAGGAAAGAAGGTGGGTTAGGCTTCCGTGCAGTTGGTGATTTTAATCAAGCGTTACTCGCAAAACAAGCTTGGAGACTTCTCACAAAACCAAATTCTCTATTGGCCCGGGTATATAAAGCACGATATTATCACCAGAAGGGTTTTATGGATGATGTGGTCGGTTCTAGACCTTCTTATGCATGGCGCAGCATCATTCATGGTCGAGAATTGCTGGGAAAAGGTCTCATGAAGAACATAGGTAATGGTCAAACGACAAGTGTATGGACCGATAAATGGATATTCGATAATACTCCGCGTCGTCCCTTTAACAAACAGTCTCTGTATGATTTAGATTTACGGGTTTCAAACCTTATTACCCCCCAAGGCTCTTGGAATCATCATCTTTTAACGGAATTGTTTTTCCCACCGGATATTGTTAGAATTATGTCGTATCCTCCAAATATAGCCGTGGCTGACAGTTACATTTGGGCTTATAATCGGTCTGGTTGTTACACGGTTAAGAGTGGCAATTGGTTGTTGTCCAACGTGCAAAATGTGTCTCCACCATTATCTGCTCAGGAACAGGAGTCTAAAGTTCTTAAAGAGAAGATTTGGGCTGTTAAAACTGTACCTAAGATCAAAATGTTTTTATGGAGGGCTTTATCTGGTGCACTAGCAGTCTCGGTGTGTTTACAAGCTCATGGTATGAACTCTAATCTCCAATGCTCTATGTGTCAGAATGATATAGAATCCATCAGTCATGTACTGTTTAATTGTTGGCCGGCGCGTGAAGTTTGGGAGATCGTCAACATTCCCCTACCTGCTCAAGGGTTCTCGGATTCTATTAATGATAACATAGCATTTTTGTTGGAAGTCATAGGCAATGATAGTGTTTCTCTTCCTTTAAGAATGGCTATCCCTTGGATACTATGGGGAATATGGAAGCATCGTAATGAGGTCTTATATGCTGGGAAACAAGGAGACTTGAATGCATTGATTATTCATGCTATGGAAGAAGCTGAAACGTGGAATAAGCTAAAGGAGGTACAACCGCAGGCTTTATTTGGTTTTTTCTCATCTCTTCACCGTGAAACAAGATGGATTAAACCTCCTCTTGACGTTCTTAAGTGTAATTTACATGTTTCTTGGTTAAATGAGTCTCATATATGTGGTGGAGCATGGATAGTAAGGAATCACCAAGGAGATGCATTATTCCACGCGAGAGACATGTTTCTGCCCGCAGTTAATCGTATTGCTGCGGAGTTAAGAGGTATTTTATGGGTTTTGGATGCTCTTTCAACGTTGAAGTTGGACAATATTGAGATCTGTTCCGACTGTAATGGTGCTATTTCAGCCATTCTTGATCCTTCAAACTGGCCAAGATATTTGTCCTATCTTGATAAGATTCACCGGGTAATACCAAACTTTGGTAAAATAGTGTTCAAGGTGTCTTCTCCAAAAGCTAATTCAATCGCAAAAGATATAGCTATGAGTGTCACAAGAGACGGTCGTGTGCGATCATATCTAGCTCGTGGTGGTCCAGCGTGGTTACGTTCACGGCTTGAAGCGGAAAAGCGAAGATGATAGAGATGGAAAGATTTTCATACTTTGATTGCTCTGTTATGTGGGGCTCTGTTTTTTGATATTGGATGTTTTGTTTTGTTGGAATTTTGATTCCTTTTCATTAATAAAGATCTTTAGACGGCAAAAAAAAAAAAAAACCTTTTCATTTCTTCTATTATTTTAATTTAGAAATAAAATTAAAATATGAATATTTAAGAAATTTGTAATAAAAAAAAGGGAGACTCACAAGAATGCCCCTTTTTCAATACCCCTTTTCAAAAATGCCCCATTTGGCTGTCCATTTTTAAAAATACCCCCTTTTATGTACAAAATGACTAAATTACCCTTCTTTTAATAAAAGATATCACAAATATATAAGGAAATATAACAAAATTAGGTCCACAAAATACAAAATATTTTTTGGCGGGAAAAGTGATCCCGCAATTTTTCCCGCCAAAACACTTGTAAAAACTTGTAAAACCTTTAAAATACCTTGTAAAATTTTCCCGTAAAATTTTTTCCCGCCAAAAATTTTTTTTTGCGGGAAAAGTGTTTCCGCAATTTTTTTGGCGTTAAATTTTTGGCGGGAAAATTTTTGGCGGGAAAAATTTACAAGGTATTTTAAAGGTTTTTTACAAGGTATTTATAAGGTTTTACAATGTATTTTAAAAGGTTTTACAACGTATTTATAAGGTATTTATAAGATATTATAAGATTTTACAAGCTATTTTATAAGGTTTTACAAGTTATAAGGTTTTACAAGTTTTTTATAAGGTTTTACAAGTTATAAATACCTTATAAAACCTTATAAGTACCTTGTAAAACCTTTTAAAATACATTTTAAAACCTTACAAAACACTAGTAAATACTCTGTAAAACCTTTAAAATACCTTGTAAATTTTTCCCGCCAAAAAAATTGCGGAATCACTTTTCCCGCAAAAAAAAATTTTTGGCGGGAAAATTTTTTGGCGGGAAAAAGTTTTACGGGAAAATTTTACAAGGTATTTTAAAGGTTTTTACAAGTGTTTTGGCGGGAAAATTGCGGAATCACTTTTCCCGCCAAAAAATATTTTGTATTTTGTGGACCTAATTTTGTTTCAAATAAGGGTAAAATGGTCATTAAAATTAAAAGAGGGCAAACTTAAAAATGGACTCTCAAAGGAGGCATTTTTGAAAAGGGGTATTGAAAAAGGGGCATTTTTAACAATTTCTCTAAAAAGGAGCTCATAATAATTCAAACTTAGTGGTCGAACTAGATATAGGGCGTAGTGGTAGATAGATAGATTCGCTCTTCCTAGATTCAAATTTTACTAGGACCAAAAATCACATGCATGTTGGGAAGCACAAGTTATGACTATCTCTGTATTGTCTGGATGATTTGTGTTCTGATCTTTGCAAAGTTAGATCGATCAAACAAAGACATAAGTCAGATCACTTAGTCTTTGGCAAAACTAGTGGGTCTTTTACTACTTGAATTAATGTTAGTCACTCTCAAATACCACATCAATGAATTTGAGGTTGTCCACACAAGACATAACCCAACGTAGTGCAGTTGCCTTAGTCTCCAAACTAGACCGAAGAGAAGGGTTAGCTTGGAGGCTTCGACCCCATACCATTTTATTTTTTTTGGACAAAAACACCATTATATTAAGTTATCGAACGATTGCTTTCCTCTAAAGATACCTAATCCGGATCCGATGTGTTTACATGGGAGACTATAAAACCTCATGCTCTTGCTTTTTTTGCTACGCAATCGGCACAAACATTGTTACAGCGTGAGCTGAATCTAATATAGAAAGCTAGAAAAGAAAACTTCAAAAACTTAAATTGTTGAATTTCTACTCAGAAAACCACTCAGATCAATTATCTAGAATGTAAATTAACTCTAAACAGTATCATTCTCACCTCTAAAGAATTTGTTTTTTTCATTCTAGTTTTTTTTCTCTTTCCAATTGTTTTTTTTTCCATTTAAAACTATTTATTGGTCATGAAACTAGCTTGAATGATTAAGGTTTTAATGTTTTTATATAATCAAAATAGTGTTAATTTTTTTAGAAATTTTTAAAGATATCCGTTAAAATTTGTTAGCTTGTTCTCCAAAACTAGCTATCCATTAATACAAAAAAAAGTATTTAGTCGTTCCAATAAACCCCTTTTCCCAATAAACCCTAATTCCTTGCCGCTTCTTCTTCATCTTCTTCTTCTTCCTCAATTCCTCTGCAATCTAATGTTCGGTGTTTCAATGAGAACATTAATCTCACCATCTCTTGCTCCTTTCTCTCTTCATCTCCCTAAACCTTCTCTCTTCTCCACCGCTCTTCGCTTCTCCTCCCTCACCACTTCCACCATCTCAATCAACAACAGATCCCCCACAAATTCACCTCCCTCCGCCATTTCCACCAGAAAACTACAAACGAAAGCGACGGCGATAACATCATCATCGTCATCCCACCCACTCTCCTCATCTCCCGGCGAAATACACGTAGTCGTCGGACCAATGTTCTCCGGTAAAACCACAACACTTCTCCGCCGTATCCTCGCCGAAAGAGAAACCGGTAAACAAATCGCAGTCATCAAATCCAATAAAGACACGAGATACTGCACCGAGTCAATAGTAACTCACGACGGTGAGAAATTCCCTTGCTGGTCACTTCCCGATCTATCGTCCTTCAAAGAGAGATTCGGATTCGACGAATACGAGAATCGATTAGATGTGATTGGAATCGACGAAGCTCAATTCTTCGGAGATCTATACGAGTTTTGCCGTGAAGCTGCTGATAAAGAGGGTAAAACTGTAATTGTTGCTGGATTGGATGGTGATTTTAAGCGGAGGAGGTTTGGCTCGGTGCTTGATTTGATTCCGATTGCGGATACGGTTACGAAGCTGACGTCACGGTGTGAGGTTTGTGGGAAGAGAGCTTTGTTTACGATGAGGAAGACGGAGGAGAAAGAGACGGAGTTGATCGGTGGAGCTGAAGTTTATATGCCTGTGTGTCGGAGTCATTACGTTTTTGGTCAAAGCGTTTTGGAAACCGCTCGTGCCGTTTTGGATTCTTCAAGTAATAAGCATGATGTTGTAGCAAGTTTGCTTTAATGAGAGTTTGTAGGATTTGTGATAGTCGTTTAGATATTTTGTTTATTAGCTTTGAGATTGGAATTTTAAACATAATTATGTACTATTTAATCAATGATTTTAAGAATTTTCTATTCTTATTTGTGAATTTCTTGTATAACATCTTATAATTTTGAAAAAAAAAACTATATGGAATTTTTTTTCAAACGCATAATCTAATTATTTTACCAATCTAAATAAATAGGACCAAGATCTCTCTCTAGTCTCTACCATACGAGACAATGAACCCCAACAACAAGCTCATCATTTGCTATCTAGCCTGACCATCTCGAGACAGTGCATAGAATCATTCATTGCGTAACTCGAAATTACGTTGTTTCAATGTTCATACAAAAATCTATGCCAGTGCTCTGATTTCTCCTGAGTTTAATCAGTCAACAGCTCTGATTAGGTTTCAGTCTCGTCGCCTCTTCTTTTCTCGCCTTGACTCTTTTTGTTCTTCGTCTGAGCTATACCGAGAAGAAGATGACTTCTTGGTCCTGTGATGCTTTGAGTGTTTCTTGTGGCTACTTCTCTTCTCTCTAGAAGATTCTCTTCGCTTTCTTCTTGATCTTGAACCTTGCTTATCCCTGCTGTGGTAGTCGCTGGATGAATCACTCTCTGAATGATTGGTTATATGTCTATCCTTCTTATTAGATCGTTTTCTCCTCCGTTCATCTCCTGAGGATTCACCCGATGATAGATCGTTGCCACCACTTCGTTTTCTTGGCGATTTCTCTCTCTTTTTTCTACTCTTTTCTTCTTCAGACCCAAGTATGAGGCTGCTTCTCTTCTCCTCCACTTTCTCTTTCAGTCCCGACCGATCAAGTCTTTTATCAGAAGAGTCTTCGGGTTTGCTTCTGGACTTGCTCTCTTCTTCTATTGGCTTGAATCCTTCCTGGTATGGGACATCCGAAGGTACTTCGAACCCTAATTCTTTCCCTAGAGATTCAAGAAAGTCACCAGCTATTAGACGGTTTAATGTGGTTGCAGCTGCTTCATTCTTCTTTTCTTGACCCTCTTGTATCTTTCCAGTTATTGGTTGATCTTCATCATCTTCAGAATCATCAGAGAAGATGGCCTACAAGTGAACATGACCGAATATTAATAGATCGAAAACATCAAATTGAGCTAGCATAAACCTTCTCAGACAAAGACACCCGCTTTACCTTGTAAAGATCAACAGGCCTCTCCACATTCTCCACTTCTACCTCAACTTCAGGCTCTTCTATTGATGTCTCTTTCTTAGGTTCTTGCGACTCAGATACTTGACGTGTAGATGCAGCTTTCACTGTATCTGGCAAGAATATGAGAGAATCCATTTTGTTTCTCGCTCGCGGAGCAGGTGGCAGCTGTAAAATTTAAGGGAATGTATTGATCAATCACGTACTAAATTTTACACCTAAGCAAGAAGAGGGCACTGAAAATTGTATAATCTACACCTAAACAAAAGAGATCAAGTAGAAAGCAGTGTCTCACTGTCTTTTTTATCTTAACATGCACATCATTCATTGTGAACATATCTCACCATATCTGAGCAAATTGCATTTGATGTAATTAAAGTCATGATTATGCAAAACTTCACTAACAAGTGCTCTCCAGAATAAGATATTAACCGTTTAATGTGTAGAGTAAGCTATTTTCTAGTGTTCAATGGATTTAAGCTTTAAATGACTCACGAAGGAGAAGCAAGGAACCACTTGTTTACCTTTCCCATGAATGGATCAGGGAGATCAAAACGCTTGCACAAAAGAGGTGAAGGACGCCACTGGAACTCTTCCCTTTTAGGATACGTCTTACTCGATTTCATGTCTACCACGCCAGTGTCTTTAATTTGCTGTAGAAGAAAGTTTTACGTATGAGCATAGAAATTCCAAATGAAAACTGCAAAGAAGATTCTGTAGACATACCTCTGTTCCGCCAGAAGTAAACTGCAGCCCTCCTGCAAGGAAGTCGATAGGCTGTTCAGTAGCCCGTCTGACCTCCTTGTAAGCTTTCCCTTTCTCAATTGCCTCAGCTGCAGCCTCAAAGTCCAGCCTCTCTTGAGCACGAGCTGATTCCGACATGCTGTTAACTCTGTTGGAGTCTGTTGTACGTAACCCTCCTTTGTATTTCTCCTTGAGAAACTGCTCAAATCTTTCTTGTTTAGCGGGATCATCTTTGAAGGGCTTCACAGCATCTGCTGCCTCTTGCTATTTCAAGGAGAGAAAGATAAGTCTAGAATGTAAGTGCAAGGAAAACAAAGGCATATCCTTTCCTTCAGCCTCAACTACCAAGTGTAATCAAGCAGAAAGTCTTATAAGGTGTGAAGTTGTTTACTTACAGATGAAGCTGATTTGGTGAATGTGTCAGAGAGATTGGTCGGGAACTGGAAGGAGCCTCCAGAAGAAGCAGAAGTATCGGTTTCTGTCAAACTTCTCTGCAATGGCTTTTCCCCTAATAAGCTGCCACGTGTTTCTGCAGTCATTTTCTGTACGATTGGAGACAGCTTAACATCTAATGTCAGCTTACTTTGATCTTTGCGCTTTTGCTGCTCCTCCCACAGCCTTCTTGCGTAGTAGTCATGACCGTTACCTTCCCGAAGAAAATCAAACAGCTGATTTGATTGGTTCTTCTCTCTAGAAAGATCCTCATATAGTTTCCCGCAACGGGAAACAAAAGTTGCAAACCCCTCGATCAGAAGTTTCAGATTATTATCTGCAGGGGGAGGAACTTCTGGAGGAGCAGAAACAGTTGGCTTAGTTTCAGCCTCAAGAGGACCAGAAAATTTATGCCGGGCCACAAAATCCTTCGGGATTTTCGGAGGATTAAATCTGATATAATATACAAAAAACACAATGATATGAATTAGACTATCTGTATGTAAGTAGCCATAATCAGAAAATTCTGGGAGCAAGAGCTCTATTGGACATGCAATTGTGTGATGACATTGATTAACAATGTCCTCATGTTTGTGAATCACTGAAACATTAGTTTGAATTACCTCTCCATACTGTAGTCAGAATTCTTAGCAGCTCCAAAACCTGGCAGAACGTCATGCTCTTTTGAGGTTAACCTCAGTCTGTTGTCATTGCTCGGTCTTGCTGGCTGTTCGTCTTCTATGACATAAGTCTGATCAAAATCGTAACCTGAAAGAAACGAAAAACACTTTGGTATTGCAGCATATTCTGAGAAACAGGCGGTTGATAAATCCAAAACTAGCACTTCAAATTGTCAAGCAAGTTTTAGCATCTATTACCAATATTATTCTTTTCCAAAAGCAAATTACTTTTACAACATACAGGAGCTACAAGTTAACCACTGTGGACAATGGTTTGTCATCTCTAGAATAAATAATAGTTCAACCTTAACAGACACTTATGCATATATGAACAAGGAAACCATGATAAGGGAAATAGCCCTTCTGTCCTTACCAGCATAGACATCTTCATCCTCAACATCAAGTTCCTCAAGTGCTCCAATGCCAAAACCCGGAGCAATCTTTCCTGCTGATTGTTCAACTCATATTAGTAATAGCAACTAACAAAACGCATGAGTAGTTTTCACGCAACAAGAATGCCAAGTAAAAGCTGGCATAGAGATAAGCTATAGATGCATGTAAGTATCTCTAAGCAATGAAGAGAAAATTAACAAGCATGAAAAGAAAAAATAGTGAGTCAAAATCTTACATTTGGGTCCAAAAAGACTTTCCTTCATTGATAAAGGTTTTCTGAAGCCAACCTCCTTATTGGCAGACAAGCGAGATCTTTTCTTTTCTACAGATCAGAAAAATGTGAAGCAAGTCAATGACCAAGAATCCCCTGTCAGCAGAAACATCATAAAAAAGTCCAAACTAGATACCTCTAAATTCAGGAGCATGCTTAAAAGGATCATATCCTAATCCATGCAGATCTTGCTTTGGATTCAGAACATATACCTGCAACAGATAAAGGAAGAACAAAGGATATCATCACAATCGATGTAACTGAGGGTAATATCTGAAGAACCTCGGCAGCAGATTAGAAGCAGTATTCACAGTCCTATGTTAATAAAATGTAAAAGAGAAGTTCAAGAAAAATATGACTAATAGCTGTATCACAGCAGTAGCAATTACAATCAACAAGATAAAGCTCATGTGAAAAGAGAAACTGGAAAATTGACTCACAGGAGTACTTTCAGAAATTTTAATATCTTCACTATACTGAGGACCCAGAGAAGTTTCCACTTCAGCCTCCGAAACCAGTGAGTCGGGCGTTTCCTTTGTATTTTCATCAGTAGAGAAGGCTAAGAATGCTTTTCTAGCTTCTCTACGAGCATCTGCACCAACAAGGTATAAAAGAGAGAAACACAAAATAAATAGCTTCCAAAATAAAAAGTACTGACGACTTTTATTGGTGCACAAAAGAAGATTATGGATTAGTGCATGTTAAACAAGTTCAAACCTGAACTGGCACGCACATCCTTTATCGAATGACCACGCCGCCATCCCATTTTTAACAAAAGTTTGACCCCTGAACAACATAAAGAAGCATATATGTGACACTCCACTTGATGCATTCGAAAATAAAGAGAACGAAAGAGAAGGAACTTTTGCAAAAAATTAAAGAGGCTTATAGAAACTAACCAATTGACTCTGAAACTGGAGCAACAAGTTCGTCAGGAACTGGGCCAGGAATGGCTGATGGCCTGTGATACAGAAACAATATGTTACAAATAAAGCATAAAATATATAGATAGCAACTTCATAGCCAACTTAAACGAGAGAAAAGGAACCATAAGTTGTAGCAACTTCTTATAGAAAATAGACTATTACACAATGTCTAAACATTATTACTAATGCCAAAGTAAATGGAGCCCCACCGAAAATACACCCTAACATAGCTCTTAACAAGCTTCCAAATGATTGCAAAGCATATTAGAAAGATTGATAAGAAAGAATTAAAAAAATATGACACATAAGTACACAGAGACCTCTCATGCTGTTCTTTCTCAGCTTGCTTGCGGGAATGTTCAGCTGCCGTAAACCCAAACGTGTCAAATTGTGAGCTCGCAGACAGTGACTTTCCCTCCATATCCTGAAATGAAAAAGCATTTAGAATGGTGTAACATCGTTAAATAATTATGCAATATGCGGTAATTAAACTTTGACAAGCTTAAAAATGAGTCGAAATAAAGCTGAACGGATCTATCAAGGAGATAAAGATGAAACATACCGCCTTTTCATCTTCATCTAGAAAGTCTGAAATACTTTGCTTTCTCGCTCCAGCTCTGTTCTTCCTTGAAGATGTAAATGACTGTGGAGCCCAGCCTGAAGTTCGATTTAGATTGTAAACAGAAAAGCACAGATAAAAGTCTCCAATGTTCAGGTAATGTAATCTTTACCCTCTTTTGATCCCACTGTATTGTAATACCCAGCAGAATATCCACCAGTAAATGCTCCATGGAACCTTCTCCGGCCTTCTTCATCAGTCACCTGAGTATGGTAAAACTCGAGATGTTAGCAGCTTTCCACATTATATAACTATATACAGATAGACATTATTTCCAGTAAAACAATAATAGTGGAAAGCATCCGCACAAAGAAGCTGGAAAGGAATTGTAATAAATACCATGCATCCATTAGTAGGAGACAAATTTAACACAGATTGCTTCAATTAGTTTGCAATTATAGACCAAGGAAGATGCCAAAGCTATCAATCTAGTAACTATCAATAGATACATTCATAACTCATAAGCCAGAACAAACACAGCATTTAACTATCCATAGATACATTCATCAGCAAGAACAAAAACATCAATCTAACATAATTCTGAGTCTCAAACCAGCTCCAGTTTAGACATTCACTATGATATCCTTGCTTAACCTTAATTCCATTCCCGGATACTCACTATTTTCAAGCTTTTTAAGCTCCCTAACATTACTCCAATTACAATTTCAAAACGCTGAAATGGGAATGGCCCAAAGTTATCTCTCTTACCACACTCGGCATAAAACCTATTAAGCTCTCTGCAATAAGTTAAAATCACGAAAACAAACACAACGAAAAAACTTCCATGTTCATGGACAAAGCGAGTCTCTCAAAGCTTAAATTCGCAAATCATCTGCAACTAAATAGACGAACTAGAAGATCAAAGAAAAACTCACCTCTTGCTTCCAAGCAGGGAGAGTTCTAAGATTGCCCGAAGCCCCAGCGACTGCTTTCTTCTTCCGGCTCGCGATTTCTTCTTCACGCTCTATTGGTGTCCCATGAAACACGAAATCTTCCTCGTCTGGCCCCATTGTCTGCGCCACCGAGAGAAACAGCAGCGACAATTCGAGATTCTAAACGAGTACCGGAGAAGAAAGCAAAATCAAGACTTCAAGAGAATGATGAAGGAGATAAATGGGCCTGGTTCGGGTCAATCTCCGGCCCATTTTGGTTTTGGTTTTAAAATCCAATTTCTACAAGGAGTTAACAGTTATCTTCACGCGCCCTCTACAAGCGTTGTAAAAGAAAGTGGGATTCACGCGCTTTTGCGTCTTCCGTTTGCCCTAATCGACTCTGCTAGAGAACACGAAGGAGAGAGAAAATTCCTCCGATAAGATTCCGTACAATCCGATCGACTTCCCGGCACCAGATCTCACCGCGACTCGGTTGACTCGTCTGCTTTCTGATTTGGATCTTCTCTTTGAACCGTGTTGACTCAGTTACGGTGAGTCAATCATCTCTATTTTCTCGTTTTATTTTCGATCGCCCCTTGATTGCTCTGTATGCAGATCTTCGTGTACAAGCATCTTACTCTTGAACCTGATGAATTCTGTAGATTAAACGATGGATCCAATGGATATAGTCGGCAAATCCAAGGAAGACGCTTCTCTTCCAAAAGGTTAGTGTTATGGCTTATCATTTATTGAATAGGATTTGTTAACCTAACTATACATAACTCTGCTTGAGGGTTATAGGATTCATGAGCTAAGAATATGTTTGATCTCTTATTGTTTTAGCGACGATGACTAAAATTATAAAGGAGATGTTACCACCAGATGTTCGTGTTGCTAGAGATGCTCAAGATCTTCTTATTGAATGTTGTGTAGGTAAGATCATATAGTTTCTCTACCTACGAGTTCATCGATATATGAGAGTGTTCTTGGTTTTCTTATTGTGGTTAGTTATGGACATTTCAAACATTTTTGCAGAGTTTATAAATCTTGTATCTTCAGAATCTAATGATGTTTGTAACAAAGAGGATAAACGGACGATTGCTCCTGAGCATGTTCTCAAGGCATTACAGGTTCTTGGTTTTGGAGAATACATTGAAGAAGTTTATGCTGCGTATGAGCAACATAAGTATGAAACTATGGTAATGATTCTCTACTTTCTTCTCCTACTCTTGATAACGAGGAGACGAAGAAACAGTTAATATTAACGGTCTTCTAAATTTGGAACTCTATAGCAGGACACACAGAGGAGCGTGAAATGGAATAGTGGAGCTCAAATGACTGAAGAGGAAGCAGCAGCTGAGCAACAACGTATGTTTGCGGAAGCCCGTGCAAGAATGAATGGAGGTGTTTCGGTTCCTCAACCTGAACATCCAGAAACCGACCAGAGAAGTCCGCAAAGCTAACTGAAACCGTAAGGCTAAGTGTTCTTCGAATCATAGGCAAGAAAGAAAACATCCTTTTAACATTCCCTTGTAAGTGCAGATGCGTTTGTCCTCTGTTTATATGCTCTTAGTATGATATATGTTAGTTAGTGTTTCATGATCTAAAAACACTTGTGATTCAGATATAATTAGTAAGCATTCCTTGTTTGGTGTTATTGTGTCTTCTTGACTAAGCACGGTGTGTCAACACCAAAGCATCTGATTGGATGATTTACAGAAATTCTAATGTTTGTAGATTGGAGAAATTTGGTGATTGGTGTAATTGTCTTTCCATACACACAATGCGATCATTGTTTAGTGTTAACATTTGCCCAATAGATACGCACACCAAGTCCTGCGATTTTGACACGAACTGAGCCGAACCGAGATTTTTGGTTTTCGGCTTGGTTTTGTTTCTCTAGACTGAACCGATCGGCATGTTTTCAATTAGGCTTTGGTAACCTGAGAATTTCTGTTCGGTTCGACATTGGTTTCTCAGATAATTGTTTGTTTTTTAAAGTAACCAGATTGTATCAAAATTAGACCGGTTTTTACCAAAAGTAGATCGTTGTTTTCCCAATACCTGATTACAAATCGAACAGAATTACCAAAAATATTCAAATTTAACCGAGTTTAGAAAAGAAAAAAGAACAAAACCAAACCAAATTGAATTTCTTTTCGGTAATCGTCTAGAAATATTTCGGTTAACTGATAACCAAAAATAACTGACTTGGTTTGTATGTTTTGTCTTTTGGCATTAATAGAAAAAACATTGTGAAAACAAAGACGAATTGTTCATTAAATATATATTTTCTTACAAAACAAAGACAAATGATTCATTAAATATTTAGTTTCTTACCAAAACTGTATATAAACTGATGAATTATGACATCATTAATTAAAGCAAAAAAAAGGTATGAGGAGTTTTGACCCCAAAAAAAAAGATAGGAGTGAGAGGGAGAGTCGAAGAAGGGGAAGAAGGTACTAGGACCATCACCGGAGTGACGTGTCAGTTCGCAGGTTTCTGTTTACTCTGCACCCGACAACTAAATAAGAGGAGAATCAGAACAGACCTATTTCATTATATCTCTATTTATGACGTCGATTAATCCCAACTATATAACTTCTTATTGTTCTGTAACATTATTATTATACATTCCTTTGTATTATTATGGCAGGATGGTGTTATTCTTTGATATACAAAGACAAAGCCTGTCGAATGTTGTATGCCTCTCAATGGCCCGTCACACCAATCTTTATTCGAGAATATTTTGTACTGAATTGAGACTATGGCTTTGAATGGTAACCCATTTTAAAGCTGTACACTGTACAGCTTTGACAGTTACCAATCACAAAAACTTTATGAAAAGCGGTACACTATAACATAAACAGTTTTTTTTGGACAAAAACAAAAACAAATTAAAACGGTTACGGTTAAATACTGTTATGGTTAAATACGGTTACGATTAAATACGGTTATAACGGTTACGGTTAAATACGGTTATAACGGTTATGGTTAAATACGGTTACGGTTACAACGGTTACCGATAATTACGGTTATAGTTATTTGATGACTACAATACGGTTAATATCGGAGGCGAAATCTTACGAGTTACCTAACTTATTATAATACTTTTCATAAAATCAAAAAGTATGTTACAAACCAAATTTTTTCATTTCGAGCAAAATAACAGTATAACATATTTGTTTGAGAAAAAGACCATTTTTTATAACGTGGATTTTTTCATATGCGGTATCATTTACTTTTTTGAAAATCTTAATCTGAACATTCGATAATTGTTTTTACATTATATGGAGTTACAATTATATTTTTAAAGTTTTAACAATAACGGTTAACCATATGGTTAAATAACGGTTTTCATATGTTTACCGTTAATTAACGGTTACGGTTAATATATTTTTTAACAGTAACTAATTATTTTTTACGGTTAACGGTTACGGTTTTTAACCGTTTTATACGGTTACGGTTGAGAAACGGTCCGGTTACGGTACAACATATGGTTACGGTTAGCTTTTGGTCATGCCTAGTAAGCATGACCAAAAGCTAACCGTAACCCTATTTTGGATCGTAACTGGACCGTTTTTCAACCGTAACTGTATAAAACGGTTAAAAACCATAACTATTCACCGTAAAACTAGATTATTTACGGTTAAAAAAATATACTAACCGTAACCGTTAATATACCGGAAACGTATCAAAACCGTTATTTAACCGTACGATTAGCCGCACGGTTAACCGTATTATTAACCGCATAATTAAACTTTATAAAATATAATTGTAACTATGTATAATGCAAAAAAAAAAAGTCTCGAATGTTCAGATAAAGAGTTCCGAAAAATTAAATAATACAGCCTATGAAAAAATCTCATTAGAAATAATGGTTTTTTCTCAAACAATTATTTTGGAATGTTATATTGCTCAAAATGAAGAAAATTTTATTTATTATAGGACTAGTAAATTCATATTATTATTCTAACAATAAAATTTTGTTCATTCTATATAATCTTAATTTTCATATGTAATTATATACTAAAGTACATTTCTATGTAATTTTTTTTCTTTCTAAATTCTTAATATTATTTATTATGTGTACCGCTATGATGTTTCCAATCAGAGTAAATTTTTAAAATTTGTTCTGCGTTATTTTTTTGTACAGCTTTCGTGTTTTATTCTTTTGTACAGCTTTGCACTATTCCCTAACAGCTAACAGCTCCAGCTAACAGCTCCAGCTAACAGCTAACAGCTCCAGCTAACAGCTAACAGCTTGTTACCAATCAGACCCTATATAAAACAATAATAACAAATTCACACATCAATGAATAGTTGAATACTTTAATACATTAATTTTTCCGTTATAATCCATACTCTGTAAGTATTAGACAAATTACTTCTTCTTTTTGGTTTTAATGTTATATGAGACAATTACTTGAACCTATTAACCATAAAATTAACTACCTATGTTCCAATTAATATCGAGTCTTGTTATATGTTTAACTTCTTGAAACGACGGGATGATGGAAACCTATAGTGGTTGTAGACTTGTAGTCCGATAATAAATTATACTGCAATATTGTCGATATGATAAAGTAGTGATGAAATTCATGAAAAATCATACGCAAATTTTTTTAATTAGTTCATGTTCCTTTCTTTTTTCTTTTTTTTTTGCTAAAAATTAGTTCATGTTCTTGAACTAAGACAATATGCTTGATTTAAGTTTCCAATGGTGTTGATATTTTTAAATTCTTACAATAATTATTGAGTCGTTAGTCTTACAGAAAAATAAGGATAATGACGTCAAGCCGCTTGTGTCAAATTATTGTCTTGCGGTCTTTACCAGTAAAAGTAAAAACAAATCTTACTTTACTGCCAACAACTATAAAAAGCTTTTGATGGTAAAAAACAAACAAACTAATAATCGCATATAATCGAACAAGAAGTGAGATGGAAAATGGAGATTACAAGAGGTTCAACAATTCACATACATTTGTTTCATTTTAGAAATGTTTTTATTCCATGTTGCTTTTGAAATCTAAAATTACTTTTTTCATTTGTTTCTTATTCATTGATTTGAAAAACTGTTTGAAATCATCTACGAATCTTTAATATGATTAGAGATGTATATGTAAAATAAAGATTTGATATAAAGAAGAAGGATTGATATAAGTGTACTATATTTTGGTAAACACTTGACACTTTTTACTGTATAAAAGATTTGAAGTCAAAAAAAGGGTTGAGTCAAACAAAATTGAGGCTCTTTGTAGATTACCCCACATAGAAAATGAAACACACACACACTTTGTCCCCAGATTCCTTTCTTTTGTCTCATTTCTCGTGTTTCTCCCAAAGTATTCAACAAAAACACAATCCTCCTCTCCACTTTTCCTCTAACTTTATATTAATACAACCAAACATTAATTTAATTATACAAACAAAGATCCACATTTACAAATTTCAGCACCAAGCTTTTCTTAAAATAACCATTGTTGTATATTTAATTATTTATACTCTTTATATATTTTTCAATACATAATTTAAAAATGCAGTAAGCTTAGGAAAAAAAAGGTTTTCCTCTCCTCTTTAGTTGATATAATCAGTTGAGATTTTATTTTACATTTTGAGTTTTTTCTCTAATAAAAATTGAACATAAGCCATTTTTATAAAATTATCTACTTATGCAACCATTTGAGCTAAAATTAAATCTCAAATCGAATCACTTGACACCTATAAAATTGAACTAAAAAGCAAAAGACAAATCTACACTTATATGAAACTAATATATTTCTCTTTTCTTTAACCTACTTTAATTTTTCCGAAATCCTCTACAAAGATGAAAATGGTGGGGTCCAAATCACAGTCGGATTCTCTGTCAAATTGTATTATCTTCTCTCTCACACCAACACACTCACAACGACAAGAGAGAGAGAGAGACAAAAGCAAAGAGAAGAAGAGAGATAAAGAGAGAGTTATAGTCACCAAATAGACCAAACCCTCAAGTTAAATTCACACCAACAACTTTGATCATTACCACATTCTCTCTATATCTCTCATCTCCCTTAAAGCTTTTAGCTTCTCTTTCAATGGCCAAAGGAAACTCACATGGCGACTTTACCTCCAAGAGACACAATAGTTTCCACTGGACAAGAAAAGTCGGATCAGACGAAAACGACGACGTTTCTTCTCACAAACCTCTTCCTCTTAACACTAAACACACTTCTTCTTCTTCATCTTCATCTTCCTCTAATGTGATCACTCCCAAAAGAAAGCTTCAATCTTTCGCCGTTTCTCGTCTCCGGTCAGTTATCGCTACTCTAAGCAGAGCACGACCCGGTAACCACAACACCGGACTCGGGTCACGGGTCGTGGGTACACTTTTCGGATCTCGTCGTGGTCACGTGCATTTCTCAATTCAGAAAGATCCTAATTCTCCACCGGCGTTTTTAATCGAACTCGCTACTCCGATTAGTGGGTTAGTTAAAGAAATGGCTTCAGGACTCGTTAGAATCGCTTTGGAGTGTGATAAGAGTAAAGAGGAAGTAGAAGGAGATGAAAAAAACGGAACTTTACGTCACGGCGGTGGAGACAAGACGAAGACGACGACGACGGCGGCGGTTTCACGGCGGTTGGTGGAAGAGCCGATTTGGAGGACTTATTGTAACGGGAAAAAGTGTGGATTTGCGACGAGGCGAGAGTGTGGTGAGAAAGAGAAAAAGGTTTTGAAAGCTCTTGAGATGGTTTCTATGGGCGCTGGAGTTTTACCAGAGACGGAGGAGACAGACGGCGGCGGCGGCGGAGGAGGAGATATAATGTATATGAGGGCGAAATTTGAGAGGATTGTTGGGTCGCGTGATTCAGAAGCTTTCTATATGATGAATCCTGATAGTAATGGAGCTCCTGAGCTTAGTATCTATCTACTCAGAATCTGAAGAAGACGATGATCGGAGAAGAACCAAAGCCTCTTCGTCAAAAGGAAGGTTTATGGTTTAGTAAGATTTTCCGGTTTAATTACTTAATTAGTCGGTTAAGTGGTTAAGTGAGTCGATGTCTAATACTTAAAATCGAAAACGACGTTATCTATTATTGCAATTCGATTAGATGTGAATGTAATCGATTTCGTCTTAGATCATATTTTTTTTTTTTTGGGAGGGGTTTAGAGGTTTTTAAAAGTTGGTATATGGGATCTGGAGGACTTTGTAAATGTATAAATTTCGTTTTAAAAATCTGTAATCTTTTGTTGTTTTTCTAATGTTTTAGTGTTATAATTGAAGGCACCGAAGCCTGTAGAATCATAATGATTAAAGTCTTGATTTTGTTCCCACTCCATTAGTGTATTTTGGTCACTAAATTATGATTTTTGAAGTGTAAATTCATCATTGAGTTTCTTTGATCCAAGAATAATTTAGACTGAATAAGTATGGACCACTTGGACCATACGTTATTATGAGTACGCGGATCGACTATAACTACGCATTATTTTGAGTTCTATATTCTTCCATGTGGGTCAATCTATTAACTATTCAAAATTAAACCTAATTCGGGATATTTCTAGGCTTACACTCACTGATAGCTTAGTTATTAATTGACTATGGCCGGTCCATGAGTTTTCTTAGTCTTTTTAGAAAAGATAAAGAAACTTGAAATAGAAATAAATATTGTTGTTTTTATGTTATAACTTATAATAACTTACAAAATTCTCACCTATGTAAATAACATTTTTAGAAAATGATTTTTTATAATTAATTTAAAGTTGTTAACAAACAAAAAAACTTACAAGATTCATCAATACATTTTAGTTATCATGGATATGTTTTTAGTCAAGTAGTTAATGGTCATCTCTGCAACTTTTTCATCACAGATCGAATAATAAGTCACGTTATTTTGCGTAGTAAAAATTAAGTTGTCGATCGAGATTTGTCGATCCAAATAATATTAAAAAAGAAAACTATACTTGAAAGGGTATTAATGTCATTTAAATGACAGAATCAGTTGGACGTACAATGTTTTTATTGGTGTCGTATGTCTTTTCCCTAGTTTTAAGGCTTTACCTTTTTTAGCTATCAAATACCAAACTCTATATTACTATTTAAATGCCGGGGAGCCTCTGCTTTATTTTTTATTTTCATGAAGTTGTAATGAAAAACTGTAACAACAATTCATAACTCGGTTCTTGTACAATCACAATTCACAAAGCACACACAGATCCGATTAAGATTTACACTGCACAATACTCAAGGAACGTGTCTTCTTCTTTTTATTTAAAGAAGATGTTTACTAACAAGAAAGTGAAATTTCTTCATGAGAATTTTGCAAAAGAGACAAAAGCTGATGCCTACAACAATTAAGATTATAATAACAAAATTATGAACTGAAAAAAAAAACACGTTGAGTCTTTTATTGCTTTATAGTATCTTTCTGCAGTTAATAAACGAAATTTGACTACAATGAAAAGCTTTTTCTTTCTTTTTATTGTGATCTTGTAAGAAAAATTAGTGTTTACCAGTGTCATTTCTTATTATAGTTTGAAATATATGTTCTTGATCACCAATAACAAGAAAAGTAAGAGCTGTGGTAGTGTGGTGCAGTGATGAAGAAATTATACTAAACTAACAAAATTAATTTATATTGGGGTTAAGCTCAATGGTTTAAGCTTAACCCCAATATAAACTCATTTTTGTGCAATTGGGCCAATTAAATATCGACAACACAAATAAACATCGACGACATCATCACTATATATCCAAATGCTCCTCAAAGAGGAAATAATATTGTCTTCTCCAATTTAATATTTTTGTCAATTTATATTTGCTTCACACCCTACCATTGACGGCTGTGGAGGAAAAAAGAGAGACAACTAATGAAGTAATGAGTAATTATACTTTTGCTTTAGTTAAAGAGCCGGCTTTAGCCGTATTTTTTTTTACTTTCTTTTGTTTAGTTTTTGTTTTCTACTTTATTCTTCTTATCAACATCTTCATTGGAGAGTAATAGAGCATAAACGAAGAAGATAGTGTTACAAAATATGCATATTTGTTAAGGTTTACATGTATTCTAAAATATGATATACGTTAGCCATACGGCAGAACATCGATAGACTTCAAATGTATTAAAGTGTAAATGCTTCGTCCAATTATTCGATATCATGGATTATATCTTGTGCTCTAAAAATATGGACTATTTCAAAGAAATGTTGAATAACCAAATTAGACTCTGAATAAACCCAATACATGGATAATGTGGATTTCTTCTAGATCGACTCTCCTTGTAGAAACAATATATAATTAACATAGTATAATAGCAAATTGATTATATGGTGTAATAGCTACAAAGGATTTGGCCTTGTAAATGTCGGGTTTGGTAGATGAAACCATTTGCTTCCGATTCACCATTCATGGCAGATGTGAGATCCGGTGTAATCGCCAGTTTATTTTGGCGTTTTGTAACTGTGTTTTTTGTTTAGAACAAAATATAATTATTTTCTTAAAAATTGATAATGGTAATAGTTAAGGATATTGAAAAAGGGTTTAGGGCCATCTCGACCTGACCCTAAATTGGTGCTAACTCGTTTTTACTCCGCTAAATTTTGCATAATAGGGTTAAGCCTTTTTGTAACCCGTTTTTAGTTTGCCATTTTTTTTTCAATTTTTAAATTTATTTTTTAACAATATTTTTATGGGTTTAGACAGTCCAGATTACTATAACTTTTATAAAAATTTCATATTATTTAAAATAATAATTTATTATACTAAATACATTGCATCGGCATTAGTGTATTTTCCACAAATGATAGTAGTTTATCTATTTTAATCATAAATAAAATTTGAAAGTTAAGGGACTACTTTGAAAAAAAAAATATAACTCGATTAGAGAGGAAGAAATAGAGTTCCTCTATAGGAAACATGGTAACATGGTACTGTAACTACCCTTGTATGATTTCCTGAATTACTACTACTACTTTAAAAACTCTAAACCCAATCACAAAATTGTGACAAAAAAAGAATAATCGAACGAATAAAAAATGGAAGACGACTCTGGTGTTCTGGTTCCGGTGGTTACTGTTATTGCGGCTCTGGCTCCTGCCCTCCTGACCATCTTCGTACCTTTGATGCTATGATTGAAAAATGTAGCAATCTAGGTAGAACCCAAATCCGTGATAATGCCGATGAGAGAGAAAATTTGTCTAGGGCTTATGGCAACAAATTTCGGGAGAGATTAATCCAGTCCCAAAATTAATTAAGGGAGCAATTGGACAAGACGTTCCTTACTGCATAAACTGCAAAGATATCAAGTGAATTGAATTTTTTTTTAAAATTTATTTCGTCTATTCAGTTTAATTCCAAATTAAATAAAGTATAAATCAATTGTTTTGGTAAACTGTTGAAAATCGTAGGAAGAGATCGCAATATTTTGTTGAGGAAAAGTTGTCAATGTTTTTGCTTTTTTAACATTTTCTATGATTTTACTTACAAGATGAAGAGATTGCCAACGTTAGATCAAAAGCTTGAAACTTCCATGGTTGTTAGCGTCTTCTGGGTTAATCATCCTAATAGTTTTTCAAATTTGACTTCGGTATTTTTTGAACTAGATTTAAGGATACTTTCAAGTTCAAAAGGATCATGTGATTTACAATACATACAAAATTGGTTATGTATGATGTATATGAACATGAATATGATAATGAACTTGTAAGCTAAGAGTGAAAAAGATATTTACCTTCCAATGTGGGGGAAACCCGTGCCGGCATTACGGTTACACTGTGATAGTCAAGCGGCTATTGCCCGAGCACTAAACACCCACTACAATGGGAAGAATCGTCACATACGAAGTCATTCAAATCAGCTTCAAGTGGTGATTGAGTGAGAAACTCATATGGTGGTAAAGATATTTACTTGGATCCACTTTTTCTAACAAACACCTCATATGTACGTGGAATTCTATCAAGTAGAGACATTTCAAGTTTATCTTTATTTATGGTTTATGTCGTGGTTTCATATTTTCACTTTGTTAAAAACTATTTTTAGTAATTTTTATTTAAAATCATTTTCTAATATTTTATAAGTAGTAACTAACACACATTTAGTGATTGCTGGATAAACAAAGTGCGATTGATGACATGGTTTTAAATTTCTTATTTTATTATGCGTAATAAAAGTCCATGAAACTTTTTTCCGATATTAGTGTTTGCATAATCACAAATTAGAAAGACAATTTAACACATACATGATATGGTAAAACTACCTTCTTCCTCCCACATCTTCTCTTGGAACTCCATAATCTTCCCTAAATCCCAAAACACGACGAAATTTATGTGAGAATTTTTTATATTAAATCTCACTTAATATTGTTCTACATTTGCACTTTACTTCTTATTTTACTCAAATAAAGATTTTTTAAAAAGATTAATAATTTCTTTTTTATAAAAATCAATTAAATCTGTAAAAATTTATATTTTTTACTCTAAATGAAATGATTAATCAATATGATATGTGTCTCATTTATCTCTAATTAATTAATTAATTTCAAGTCTGTGATTTAACATTATCAAAAAATATTTTTATATTATTTAGCTTGGTAAATTATCTATGTTTTAGATTAACAACAACTTGGTAATATAAATATGTTTAAATTTTTGTGGACAAATTTGTATAATTTTAATAAATACCGCATCTGAACATATTTATACTCTATAGTTTCAAGTTTCAATATCCTTACCAGGCCTTGAATTAGAGGCCCAAGTAAAATGTCAAAATAATGTTTCTTCACATTATTAACAATCGGCATTAATTTAATAGTCTTCTGCAATTTCCTTCCAAAGTAAAAGCTTCCCTTCATTCTTCTCGAGTCGATCTTCTTCAACCTTGACTCGTCCTGAGTCGGTGCAATCCAAATTCTTCGAGATCGTAATCTCATCTTCTTCATATATCCATGGGGCTATGATCATCTTTCTGCAGAAACAGAGATAACGTTTAATTTCGAAGATGGATTCACTCCTTCTCGAAGATTTTGGGCAGAAGGTGGATTTGACCCGACGAATTCGGGAGGTTTTGTTGAACTATCCGGAAGGAACCACCGTGCTTAAGGAGCTTATACAGAACGCTGATGACGCCGGAGCTACTAAAGTGCGTCTTTGCCTTGACCGTCGGGTTCACGGGTCGGGTTCTTTGCTTTCGGACTCTTTGGCTCAGTGGCAAGGTCCTTCTCTATTGGCTTACAATGATGCTGTTTTCACTGAGGAGGATTTTGTTAGTATCTCCAGAATTGGTGGAAGTGGCAAGCATGGTCAAGCTTGGAAGACTGGTCGATTTGGGTAAAATTTT